ATGAAAGATGTTTGAAAAACAAGCATATTCCTTCAAATATACAATATACCAAAGTATCATTTGTTCCCTTTATTTGGAAGAAATACAACCATCTGATTAATTCAACTACAACCTGCCAGAGATTGATGCTCAAATTGTGGTTATTAAACTATGCTATTAATGCACATTTTTCCTTTGTTCTGTTTTTGTTTTTGAAACAGGGCCTCACTCTGTGTCCAAGGCTAGAGTGTAGTGGCATCCGCCTAGCTCACTGCAACTTCCAGCTCTGGCTCAGGTGATCCTCCTGCCTCACCCTCCCGAGAAGCTGGAATTGGCACCTGCCATCACACCCAGCCACGTACAAACTTGTGTTTTAAAAGTTCTTGTCCCCTGGGAAATTTTATTCCACTCTCTTGGTGCTGATGCAGAAACTGAAACATTTATTTTGCACTAATTATATGTCAAGCTGCAGGGTTGGCTGCAAAGATGAAGATATGGCTTCAAGCTTACATAAAATGCTTATGATTGTTATTTTCCCCTATTATTAGTTCACTATTTTACTATTTAAAATCTTGTAACTAGTTAATGTTTTAGTATCACAAATGGTTGCTGCAATCGCATTGAATAAGTAAAGCAAAATACTAAATGTTCAATAGTTTTATTATTTATATGAAAGATGGGAAGTAGAAAAAAATTATAAATGTTATAAAAAGTTGGCTGACTTGGTGACATGGTGATGGTATGAATTAACAGTGGTCAATTATAAATCTAAGTAATATTTAAATTCAATAGCATGACATACTTTCCTAATATGAACACCCATAAGTACCCCTCCTTATTGGTTATTTACCATGAAAATAAACTTAAAGTTTCCATGTTTAGTCAGTTGACTAAACACAGTCAAATTAAAATGGTATCAAATATGTTCACATATACATATGCATATAATCAGATGGGATCACTCTAGATGGTCATTACTTATCAAAAACTAAAATATGCATGACTTGTGATCAGGCAATTGTACCTCTACTTATCTAAACCATAGAAATACTGCCAGCAATACTAATACATAATTGTACAAAAATTATCATTCAGATAGTCTTTATAAAAGTTTTTTAAATGTTAGTACAAAACAAAGAGGCAGAATTAGACATGCAGGTAACTATTTAGAAAAGTTTCAAGGTGCTAAATTAAAAAATAAGAAAAAATTGAGCACAGTATAATCATATTTTGGTAAAATAAAAAATGTATGGCAAAACAAGCTTTATTTTAATTTTCGTAAACCACACTGTGTTAGTTTCCAAAAGCTTTCATAACATCTATGAAAACATGTCTTAAAACAACAGAAATTTATGGTTCCACGGTTCTGGAGGCTCAGAGTGCTAATTCAAGGTGTTGGCAGAGCCCTGCTGCCTCCAAAGCTGTAGGAAAGAATTCTCCTTTCTCCCTTTGTAGCTTTGGTGAAACTTGGTGTTCTATGCCTTGTAGAAGCATCCCTTCAATTTCTGCATCTGTCTTCACATAACATTCTTTCCTGCCTGTCTCTATATACAATTCTCTATTCTCATAAGGACATCTGTCCTCAGATTCAGGGACCACCTTAATCCTGTATGATTTCATGCTAACAAAATACATCTGCAAAACACGATTTCCAAATAAGGTCATAATCTGTGACTCCTCACAGACATGAATTTTTTGAAAAACGTTTACTACATGTACTTATCAACATTAAGTTTAAAAATGGATAATTCTATTGTTGCTTTAAAAACAATTGTAATTTATTTGTCCTGTGAAAATTTTGATATTTATTGTTTATGTTTAGTTTTCCTTTATTTTTAAGGAGTTTAGGCTTTCTCCTATCATTATTTTTAATTCCTCATCTAAAATCAGTCTTCTTTTTGCTTCATTGGACAAGGCAAAAAATTAAAACACACTATCCATCAATAGGTATAGTTTCATTAATCTCTAATAGTTGAAAAATAAAATAGATTTGTTATATCCTTATTTTTAGCTCATATGTGCATAGATATGTATATATAAACAATGGAGTATGTCATATACATGAGTAATAATATATAAATTTTATATAACCACATGTAATAATTGATATGCCTTAAGCAGTACATATATATAGTGCCTCCCCCCAGTTCATATGTTGAAGCTCTACCTCCCAATATGATTGTATTTGAAGGTAAATCCTTTAAGAAGGAAATTAAGATTATATGAAATAAGGGCAGGACCCTAATCCAACAGATTTGTTGTCCTAATGAGA